CCAAAGAGTTTGGGTGGCTCCATTCTTATGGTTATAGCTCTCATGGCTTCTCTCTTGGGGCCATTCTAATCCCTCTTGGCAGTTTTCTTCAGACAATCTGTGTTTGGCTTCTCCAAACTTCTGGGGTCTGCATTGCACCTTTGCTTTCACATTCATAGCTTCACACACTGCCTTCTCAGGGGCACACTGTCTGGCCTCTCAGGATTTTTTTCTGATACTATGGTGGAAGCTTTCCTGACCTCACAACTCTTGCATTCTGCATGTGCCTAAAATCAGTGCCATGTGGATGATATGAAGGTCTGCTGCCAGCTGGAGCAATAGCCAGGCTTCCTTCTCTCTTCGCCGTAGGAGTCAAGTGTCTGAATCACTGAGCACTCTGAATTCCCCTCTGAGGGACAAATTCTCTGTACCACTGCCATTCTGAAATATAGTGCTCTGAGGCTTTCTTCCCAAAGAAGAAGTTCTGCAAAGGGTAAAGTCCTGCTGCTTCTTGTGATGCCTTTAGGCAATCTTTTCTTCAATCCCATTTATTGTCAAGATCTCCTCTGCTCTATCTCTGCAGTCCAGTTTTACTAGAACTTACTTTCTGACAAAATTTACAATGTTTTGAATCACGATGCTGGGTTTGATATTGATTCTCAACATAGATCTGACTAAATGTTCCCAACAGTAGCCATGCCACTGCCTGGATGTTTCATGTTTGAAATTTCTTCTGCCAGGTTAATTAGTCTGCTACTCATAATCTGAGTGTCAGTCATAGTTTCTGGGCATCTGTAATACTTTCATTCTCTTGAATGGTTTTATACTATTTTGTTATGTTTGATACTATCGTATATGAAGTTATGCTCAACTATTTCAAAGAGAAAGACATTATGGTAGTTACTGTTAATTATGGGCTGTCTTGTGGTGAAATCCTGTGTTGCTTACATTGTTCTGATCTGATCTGTTTTTTTTATGTCCTCTTTTGTCAAAATAAAAATAAATCTCTTTAAAATAAAAAATAAAAATAAATTTTAAAAAAAAAGTTTCTGGGCATGAGAAAAATGCAGACAAACTTTCTGCCAAGCCATAACACATATCATTGGAGTCCAACAACCAATGCAGCCCTTCTTCCCAGCAGAAATCTTCCAAGCCTGTCTTTACTGAAAGAATTTCTATCAGCCTTCTAGTCTTCTGAGCTGGCCAGAATCTCTTACACAGACCACCCTAAGGTGTTAGAGCTCTCTTTTTAGAGTTGGCATCTCTGAAGCTTTTCAGTCTCTTCCCACAAGATATTACAAAGGCTTCAGAATGACATGATTGAGTATAGTAACATTAACAACCCCCACTGTTGATACCAAATTCTGTTTTAGTTGCTTTTCTCTTATTGTTGAGACAAAAATACCCAACATCCAAAGTGAAAGAGGGAAAGGTTTATTTATCTCACAGTGTAAACTGTGAACCTCTATAAAGAGGTTTAACCCAAAGCAGGGTGGCATATGGCAGAGGACCAACATTTTATCTCAGTAAAAGATAGCAAAAGCAACCAGAGAGAAGAGAGAGACAAAGCTTCTTTCTGTCCCTTATATATATATTTTTTAATTTTATTTAAGGAGAAAAGAAAAAAAAAGCAGGGAAAGGGTACAAGTTATACAGATTTACAGAAAAAAAATGAACAGTAGGAAATCACTAGTTAATGGATTACATATTGTCATCTTAGAAATAATTGTTCAAGTCACAAAATTAAAGCTTGTAAAGTGGACATTCCATCAATGATACTGCAAATAGTTCTGTTCATTGATCCAATAAAACTCTGTGATATCATTTTCTATCTTATACATTTAAATATACATGCAGTTATATAGTTTGGAGCACTTTCTTTTCCTCTCTTTTGTACCATGACTATTACTCATTTTGGGTTTCATTGCTCCCACGGTTCTTATTACTTTTTTGGAAGAGAGTAAAACCAAATGTGACATAACAGAACAGAATCGGTCAAGTCAAAAGGGTGGACATAATAGATAATGTAAAAACATAATACAAGGTGATCAACAATGGTTACCATAATGCCTCCCGCTATCTCTAATAGAATTGCCTATATCGTTAGTTATAATACAATTGAACAAAACAGTAAAGAATAAAACCGACAAAACCAAAACATTGGAGACATTGTAGGTCTTCAAAAGTAGATAAAAGTCAACAAGAATGGGCGTCATAATGAATCTCATTATCTTCACAGCTGATGCCTAAACTTTCGAACCTGATACTATCCAGCAAAACAGAATAGGGGAACATCAGTTAAAAACCAGATGGTGAGAGTAATACAGGGCTTTAAATCAAGGTAATAAAAAGTCAAAGTGGGTTACTATAATATATCCTGCTATTTTTTTCCTTTAATTAAAAGGATAAAGATAAAAAAGTAAATAATGGAGTGGAGATTGAGATAAAAGAGGGCATAACAACGAAACAGCGCAGATCAAAACATAACCATTTAAGCAGAGTAGTGTTTCACCACCAGATAATCCTAACCTAAAAGTAGTTACCATATTGTCTCTTTCTTTGAAATCCTTGAGTACAACTTCGTATACTGTAGCATTAAGTATATCAAAACAATGTAAAACCATTCAAGAGAATGACAGCATTACAGAGTATTTAGAATCGACTAACAGAAAATGAACAATGGTTTCTGTATAATCTCCTTGTCTTTAAAAGGTTTTTGCTTATACTGTCGTACATAATAAAATCCAATAAGATACAGCCTATTTAGACCATTGGAGACAGGACAAAAGCTAGATGAGACTTCAAAACAAGATGATACTAAATCAGTATTACCTATTAAGATGTCATTTTCTCCAAAATAGCTGTTCCTATCATCCAATCTTCTCTGCCTCATTTCTGTTGAGCTCTTTTTCTGTCAGTAGCTGTCAGTTTGTCTTCTTCTTTTTGTTCTCTGCTCCATTCGTTGTGGCCTCTCTGCCATTATTTCTGGATTCTTTGTATTTTTCTTTTTTTAGAATATCCTGCAATACTCTCTGTAGAGTTGAATTGGTGGTTGCAAATTCCCCCAGTTCCTCTTTATCCTGGAAGCACCTTGTTTTTCCATCAATTTCCAGGGACAGTTGTGCAGGATATCTCAATCTTGGCTGGAGATTATTATCTTTCAAAGCTTGAATTATTTCCCCCCATGCTCTTCGTGATTTGATGGTTTGTGCAGAGAAATCTGCTGTAATTCTGATGGGTGTTCCCTTGTAAGTGGTCTGTTTCTTGTCTCTGACAGCTTTTAATATTCTGTTCTTGTATTGAATTTCTGGAATTTTGATTATTATATGCCTGGGTGTAGCTCTGTTTGGGTTGTAGGTAGCTGGGGTCCTGTATGCCTCATACATCTGAGTATCTTTACCTTTTGCTAAATTAGGAAAATTCTCCTGGATTATTTCTGTGAGTAGCTTTTGTAGTTCACTTGTTTGTGTCCCTACTTCTTCTTTTATGTTCTTAATCCTTAAGTTATGGATCCTCTTATCATCTTCTTGTCTTTGTATTATTGCTGTTTGTTTCTTTGTTATTTTTAAGAAGTTTTTCATTTCATTCTCCCATATTACAAGTCTGCCCTCCAGTTTAGATAGTCTGTCCTTAGTTTCTTTCAAGCTGTTATGCCAGTCTTCGATAGACTTCTTAGTATCTTGGTAGTCCCTTTGAACCTGCTTCACGTATTCTATGCTTTCTCTGTTTTCTCCATCAAACAATTCTCCCCTTTTTTTCTGTTCTTCCATTCCACCACCTGTTTTTTCTTGGGTGGTACTTAGCATTTCTCTAACTATTCTGCATACTTCTAGTTTCAGGTCGTTGATAACCTCATTCCTGAATTGGTCTATGAGGCTCTCTATATGGCGCCTTATGTGTATTGGTGCGGTGTCTGCTATTGCCTGTTTCTCAGAATTGGGGGCCAAGGAGCCTTTCTTGTTGCTGCCTCTTCCCATGCTGCCTCTTCTTCTCTGTTCCTTATATATGCAAGCTTATATAAGAGGCCCAGCTTCTCTCCCAGTCAGCCACAGCCTGATCGAATTGCGCCAGTTAGGTGTTCCCGCTCACCGCTGCGCACCAGGGAGTTACGGACCAGGCAGCCTACGCGTCTCCCCTCCCGGCCACCATCAGGCTCTGGGATCTGGGTTGGGACAGCCTACCAGGTCCGCCAGCAGCGTCACACAGGCCAGGCACTTCACCAATCCAGCCCGAGAGGGGGATGTGTGGCTGGAGTCGCCACTGTGCCCTGCTCACGCAGGACTGCTCGGGCCCAGAAAGTCCTCTGCTGGAGTCAAACTGTGGTAGAGTGTCAGTTTCTCTCACTCACCTCACCACAAGTCAGTGCACGCCTCCCTGCCGTTCGCAGATTGCCGTTCTCAGAGCTTCTGCGCGTCTCTCCCCTTGCCGAGCCACTGTAGAGGCAGCCAGCCGCCGCGCGGTGGGAAACCCAAATCGCGGCTTACAATGGCGCGGGGTCCAGCCTCCACACCGAGGCTTTTCTGCTCCTGTTTTAGCACCAGGACTGCATTCCAAGTTGGTTTCTCTCAGCCCAGTTCGTTCCTGAGTCAGCAGAGCATATCTCCACCTGCTTATGTCTCCTTAGTCCGCACCATTCCTGGCTTCTGAGCCGAGTCTTTCAGAGAGCCTCCGGTAGTTGCTGTTATCTGTCCGCCATGTTCTCCCGGAAGTTCCTGTCCCTTATATTGTATCCAGTCTATCAGGATTAGGGTGGTGCCAATCCAATCAGTAGACTGATCCTGCAATCACCCACCTTTAATCCCAGCACTCTTAATCTCAGCACTGCGTATAAATCAGTCTTAAACTCTAGATTCAACTATCTCTGAAAAAACTGTATGACGCAGCATGAGGGTTTAAGGGGACATCTAGACACAAACCATAACATTATGCAAACATTAGTCTAATACAATTCACAGCATTATGCTAGGGTAAGTGATTAGAATTCAAACATATTCACTAATGCCTATTTTATTATTTTTAAGAACATACGTTTCATGAAGAAGTTTCTGACACAGAAAACAATCTGAGCCAAGGATTCAGCTTGGTGGAAGCCATCTTTAATGTACTGTACCACTGTAATTATTCTCCACAAATATTTGGAAATGTTTTTGTGAGTTATATGGAAGAAGAACGATTATGGGACTTCTTATATAACATTCCAGGTATGTGAAATTTGCTATTTGTAAATGAAATGCTTTATAAATACTTAAAATATCTTTAAAGATATTTTAAAACTTTCACTGATACTGGGTTTCTGCATCTGTTTTTTGTAAAATTTCCTCTTATATCTTTTAATTACAAAGATTTCTGTTGTAACCATCAACCATTAGTTTCTGTCAAACTAATATTTTTGGATGAATTATACTTGCAGGAAGTTGAATAGAAAAAATGTGTGATGAAGTCTTAGGTAGTGTTCTATCACAAAGATTTAACTTTTGCATTAGATTACATTTTTTTAACTTATAAGATGTTACCAAGATATGAAAAATCTTTTGTGATTCTGTACCACATTTTTTTAAACAAACTGATGAAACAAACTGTTGGTCATTTTCCCCTGATATATACTGCATTTATTATCCTGGTAATGGTACCTTTTTTATTCAAGACAAGCATGTTATATGGTTCCTTTAGTGGCAGTATGTTTTCTCCATCTATATGGTTCTTCAGCTTTCAGCTAGAGACAATGTGAAGGACAGAGCAGGTTGTACATCAGAATAGGAGGTACTGATGTGATACCCTATCTTCAGGCCAGGCAAAAGTTTTCACAGTATAATCCCACAATATCTCCATATTTAATATCTTTTGGAAACCAAGGATGATAATCTAGGTGGATATTATTATCATTATCCCATTAGTCCATTAGTCATTTGCATCATTTATGTCTGGCTTGCAACTATAAGATTTCTTATATACACTCTGCTTTGGACCAGAATTTTTGTAAAATATTTCCTAGGTTCTCTGTAGAAGATCTATCTGGCAAAGAATCATCTTCATTTCTCCTAGACTTTGTGAGTATCCTCCATATAATACTTGAATACTATTTTAGTTATTTTAAAGTCATTATGTTTCATCTTCCCTTGGTCATTATCCCTGAAAATAGCAATAGATAACTCTTTGTAATGGTTTCAAAAAATCTGAATCTATCACTTACAGATCTTGTAATAGTGATCTCCTTTAAATTTTTTATCTCTTAGTTTCCAGGCATTACTTCACTACTTTCTGTTTACCCGAGGAAGGGAAGATTTCTACTTTGGAAGGCTCAATTAGAAGCTTGGGCTTCTGATGTGGTCTTTATTGAACGGAAAGAAAGCCAGTCATAAAGCCAGTCTTAAAACCAATCTTGAATGCCCTAAGCTCTGTTCAATTTTTTTAATGAGGAAAGTAATAAGAATGTATTGTTTTACCAGATTATAAAGATTTAGTGACCCGCATACTTCAACCTCTGTATCTTTCAGCTATTAAGTTCCTGGACCACTTTTGACACTCAGTACAAAACTACCTAAAATGACCTAGAATGTATGAGTGGACTTCAGGTTATGAAAAGTGAGAATAAAACTCTACTTGCTCCTAACTTGTTTCTCTTTCTTTGTGCACTAAGTAAGACTCCTCCAGGAAGCCAGATGGATCTGTAGACATAGGTTTTACCCATATTCATATAGTCTGGATTGTATGGAACCCAAAGGGGCAGAACTTCACGTTGGTGAAGCTCCCTTGGCCTTTACACAAGTCGTTTCTCCATAAACATTAATATGAGATATACCATGTTCGGTGAATATTCTCTGGCACCTGAGACCTGCGGTGGCCATGAGGGATTGTATCTTTGTCTTTTCTCTGCCGAAAGTTTCAAAAGTTTTCCTTTTCTTCTGTTACCAATCATGGTTATTTTAAAGAGCACTAATAAGATAATACAATGTGCTAACTCATAGCAAATCAATCCTTCTATTATGACTTCTGTTTCATTTGAAACTAAAAGACTTTAAAATGAAATACATCTGAGATGCATAATTATAATCTCACAATATTTGATTTTAACACTCATAGAGCCATGCTTTGGTAAGTGTAATTGACCTACCTAGAAACTGTAACATGTTGCTTAAAAACATCACTGGTGTATTTTCCTCCATCTGAAACTCGGTCAAAGATTTTACCATAGCTTAACCACAGAACATCATAGTCTTATCATTTTAAAATGAAAAGGCTAAGACAAAGTAGCCAGTATCCTCATCTTATTGCAGAGTAAACAAAGGCAGGAGACATTAACATAATCCACCTATAAATTTGGACAGAATCAGAGCAAGAAACCAGACCACTTAGCTCATAGGCTATGTTATTTTTAATGTTTTTTTTTAACTAGGCTAAATATTTTAAGCCATTTGTTTTATGAATATGAGTTCAGTAATGAAGTATACAACCTGACTGTGTAACTAAAAATCTAACACATTAGCTGTTTAGAATGAACATGAACTAGGGAAGGAAAGCAAAATTATTCCTTCTATTATGACTATATATACCTATATATATCTTCTATTGTGACTATGTATATATATATACATATATATATATCCTATTTTAAAAGAAAATAAAAGACAAATACAAAAATCCAATTGTTAAGAACCTAATGTGGACCTTGAAAAGCCAATGCAATTTATAAAAATTAGATTTGGCGGCAGTCATTGCAGAAGTAGGCTCTCAAAGTTGAGGAAACATTCTTCAGTTGGGCAAATGAAAAATATCGAAGCAGAGTGACTCATTTAGGTTTTATAGCAATGCCCAAACAGGCTTGTAAATGAGGAAAATATTGACAAAGTGGCCTGTCTGATATTATTGTAATATACTCAAGTATTATTTGCTTGGCTCCTCACTATGACATTGGCTTTACTTCAATTTTCTGGGTCAATTTTTTTAGCTCTCTCATTGCCTTTGGGAAGAAGGATTTCAATGACTTAGCTAAATTTAACAATTAAACTTTGAGATCGAAAGTTTTACTTTTTTCCTCTATTCATTTTCCTCAGCCTGATAAAAACTTTTACTAAACACTTTTCAGAATGCATGTATATGTCAAATTTTTTTTTGGTTAAAATTATAATGTTTCCTTTTTAATAGGTGCAGGGATTTTCTCTGTTACCTATATACATACCTGTACCAGAGTGTGGGTAGGTATAACATGTAAATTTTCAGAAACTGGAAGATCATTTTTGTTCTACACTCTTAAGACTTCTATTTGGCCATCCATCCAATGCTTGCATTTGTAACCTGTTTCTGAAATTCTCTATTAGATATAATTTACATACCATAAAGTTTACCCATTTCCAGTGAAAAATCCAATACATCTGACCTATGTATAAACCTGTGTGACAATGCTTCAATGAGGTTCAAACATTCCCATCACCTCAAAAGGTCCTTACATCCCACTTTGTACTCAATTCTCCTTTCAACTCCCAATCTCGAAAGATACAAATTATGTTTTATACCATGGTAGGTTATTTTTTTAAGCTACCCTAGAATCTTATATAAGTAGAAATCTATATTTCTTTTGTGTCAAACTTCTTTTTTTTTATATTATGATTTATTAATTGTTCATTTTTTCCCAGTGCTGACTAGTATCACTTAGTAGTGTTCTCTGTTTTATCCATTCATCATTTCTAACCTGCTTTACAAAATAATTGTTATTTTTATATCACCATGAATAATGTATAAGATTCTGTTTGATCCATATCCTTGTCAATACTAAGAACTGTAATTTTGATTTTGGTCCATCTAATGTATATCTAGTGATAGTTTTAATTCATATTCCTTTGATGATTAATGAAAACAAATACTTCTTCATGTGCTTAATGGCCATTTAAAAGTATTCTTTAGTAGGGTATCTGTTCAAAACATTCTCATTATTAATTGAGTTGTTTATCTCATTGAGTTGTAAAAAATTGTTTACATTCTGCACGTAAGTTCTTTTTCAGATACATGCATCAATAAAGTTTTGCCCAGTCCATGGCTTATCTTTTCATTTTCTCAGGAAGGTCTTTGCAAGAGAGATGTTTAGTGTACCCTTACTTTCCTACTTATTATCTGGCCCATCACTTTCTAGCTGATTCATCAATTTCCTTGCCTTACAAAGAAAAAAGGAGAGCCACGCCCTCCCCAGATTTCAGTTTGTTATTTCTATCATTGAAACTTTTGGAGAATCAAAGAAACTTTATATTTCTCTTGAAAATTATGTTTACATATTTTCAGAGGGCTTTTTGCTACTCTTGGCTGCCTAATTACTCCTAACTCATCAGTAAACTTTATTTCCAACAGCTGCTGATTAATCAATGAATTAACAGCATTATTTTCATACTAAAACTTTTGCTTGGCTATGCGTTTTTATTTTGGTGGTGGTGGTGGTGGTGGTGGTGGTGTGTGCGTGTGTGTGTGTGTGTGTGTGTGTGTGTGTGTGTGTTTTACTGAAACTGAACCCAGGGTCTCTGTACTGAACTGCATCTGCAACTCCCCACACCTTTGTTTGAAACATGCTCTGGTTAAGTCACTGAGTTACCCAGAATGAGTTCCAACTTGTGATTTTCTTGTTTCAGCTTCCTCAAATGCTGACTGTAGCCATATGTTACCATGCTTAGATTCCTTCCTTTTACAATGTCAGGTTAGTTTATTCTGTGTCAAATTGCCTAAAATATCTTTCTTAAAAATAGCCTGAAAAACTACCACTAAATTACTTTTTTTCTACACATTCAAAACTGTAGCAATTTTAAAATAAAAGCAATAAAGTTTTTTTGTGCCTTGCCTGATCTATTATTATCAAATTTTAAGATTATATTGATGAAAAGTTGGTAATTAGTGGCTCAAGCAAAATGTGTCGATGCATGCACTGTTTGGTTTCTCTCATTCTTAGAAATGCTGCTGCAGACAGAGGCTAATTTTCGATTTAAAACCATCATTCTGCCTCTCTCTAAGGACTTCTGATTACTGTGCTGTGAAAGAAAGCAGCAGAATCACTGCTTTCATTGATCTTTTTATGCACTTGGTCTGAAATATTGGTTATTTTCCTTTTAGGGTTTTAAATAGAGACATAGAAGGTAAAAACTAAAAAAGACCACAAATACCATCCTGTCCCCCTCCTCCTGCACTCTCTCTTCTGGCTGTATAGATCAGGGCAGGAGGGCTCCTC